CACTAATGCGAAATTCGGTAGAAGAATTCGCAGTGGTGATTCTTTTGTGGGTTATTGCAAGGATTTTTATCAGATCATTAAATAGCAGCAAAGAGAGGGTAAAAATCCATCAAAATAACTTTATTTAAAACGTGCAAAGAGGACAGAGGAAAACACCCACCTAGTCAGCAGACCAGGCCGCTCTCTAATCCTTTGTTGCCGGCTGGCGCCGCTGGCGGATATATTTGTTTGCTGTCACCCAATACGTTTGGTCGACGTCTCGAAGTGGATCTCCATTATTCCACATTTCCTCTCACCTGTTTTCCTCCAGTCACACAATACGAAAACAATAATAATCGCCTTTTACTTTGGTTGAAGATCGGAGGTTGTTGATGAATCTTCTAAACCACGCCATCATCCGCATATTTTTTAGGAACGAAAAGAAATATTTCATGTACCAATGATCGGTACTCTTAACTGTTGTCACAACAGCAATTTTCTTTCTTTCCATAGAGATTTCTTCTGAAGGCCAATATTCTTTGGAGAGTTTTAACCAGGAAGGGCCCTCCCACAATCTAGACTGTATTAGTTGGGAGAGGCTGCATCCTCTGGAGGGTAAATCAGCTGGATTGCACTCGCTAGGAACATATCTCCAATCTCCTGGTCACTAAGTCTGCATATCTCTTTAACGCGATTCCCGACAAAGGTACCCCACTGGTCATCGCACTTTATCCAAGCGAGGGCTGTTGTGGCATCAGACCAGAATACATTTGTGACATCTTTCAACACTAGAGCTTCAGAGACCATCTTGTTTAACCGTGCTCCTACAACACAGGCTTGAGAGGCGCGACTCGAGACTTAACCGCCATCATATGTACTTCAACTTTGTCAGCAACCCGTGTCCGAAGGAAGGCCACAGCAGCATAAACTTCACTACTATAATCAACAAACGTGTGTATTTTCCAGTAATTCTGCAGTACCATCAATTGATTGAAATTCCTAAGAATTGCCATGCCTTTGTGCAGATGAAGGTCGTCGAACCATAGGCTTAGTTCATCCTTGTAGTGACGGTCCAATTCATCGTCCCATGCCAACTTTAGAGTCCAAGCTTTTTGCATCAGAATTTTAAGCTCTATCAATATTGAGCTTAGAAATCCAATAGGGTCATATATTTGAGCTAAGCAGGACAGGATACTCCTTTTGGTTATCTTGGGGGGTATGGCTACGGGAATTTCACATGACAAACAATCTTCCCTTTTATCCCAACATATGCCAAGCACTTTAGACATCTCTGCTCTTTCAAAGAGGTAAGTATCGGAGGCCACGTCCAGGTTATGCTTCCAGCGGCTTAGCTCCATCCGAGCATTTTTCATGGACGTTGCGGTCAATCTTAGATCTTGTAACTCTTCAAAAGAGTTCACGCTTGTGACTAAATTGTCCACATAAAAGTATTTTTGCAACCTGTTATGTTCAGGTCGAACATTAGACAGGTGGTACTCGATATGAAAGGACTGCAGTTAACACCGAAAACGACACGTCTGTGTCTGAATACTTCTGTCTTTTCTCCATTTTGGGAATTCCACAGAAAACGCAGGTAATCTCTGTCCCTTTCATTCACCCCAATCTGCAGAAATGCTTTCTTAATGTCTGCCATGACTCCAAACTTGCCATTTCTAAACCTTAGCATATGGTTGGGAATCATCTCTATGAGGTTAAGTCCTTTTTCAAGACAGTCATTTAAAGATGGGGATCTATAGACCTTGTTAGAAGCATCAAAAACAGGTCTGATAGACGTAGTGCTACTGGAGACTTTCACCACCGGACGATGAGGCAGGTAGAAGGTCTCATTGTCGTCTTATTCAGCTGGAACTTTCTCAATTATCTCATCATCCAACCAGCCTCGGAAAATGTCATCATAGTCATCATAAAGATTCAGGGAGATTAATTTCTTAGTCGTCTGTTCTAATCTCTTCATAGCAATCTCCCTGTTGTCCGCGATCCTAGCTTTCTCTACAGTCCACGGGAGGGAAACAACATATCTTCCAGAAACAGAATGTTGGACTGTTTTTAGAAAATGTCGACCCGCCAGTGCGTCTCTCTTTTTAACTTCAATAGGATCCATAATGCCAAGAGCATCGAGATTCCACAGAATGGTTATAATGTTCTCCGATATTGTCATCGTTGTAACATGATGAGCGAGTGAAACGTCACTACCCGGCTGACATTCTCCCATTAAAGTCCATCCAAAACGCGTCTGAGACACAGTCAAGCCATTTAACAACACACAAGATTTCATAATGAAAATAGATCTTAACAAACCACATCCTAGAAGTATTTCAATTTCCATGTCATTCTCTTTAATATCAGGAACCCAGATTTTGCGGACTTTTAGTTCTTTCAACCATGACCCGCGGCTCAATCTTGGTAGGTTATCACAGATTTTTTGTTGGTCAAGAAGCTTCGCGACCATTTTAAAATTCCCCGACGCATGATCTAAAGTGACTCTGTATTCTTGATGGAAACTTTCACTAGTATGGCCTCCAAACACTACTTGTTTAAGCGATTCCTGGCCAATGGAAGATAGTCCGAGATCCTGGGCAGTTTTAGACAAAATATAGGATCGTTGGGAACCTGTGTCAAGGAGGGCACGCATTACTTTCGCCGAAGTCGCACCTTCGACCTTAATCTTCAGAGTCTGTAGCAGAATCAGAGACGAAGCATTAAGACTGAAACTCCGTTTTCTACTGTAGGAGAAGCGTCACAGTGTTCCACCTATTCCTTGTCTTCACCCGGTGACTCTCATCAAGGAGCATTAAGAGGGCATAAAATATCAAGGTGCTTCTTCTTACATCGAATACATTCAGTTATGCGCCTTCTACAATTAGAAGAGATATGACCTTGGAGGCAGGAGAAACAACATTTAGCGTTTTTAATACGCTCTCTTCTTTCTTTAATGCTCATTCTGAGCGCAGCAAGACATTCTGTGTTTTTATGATCTTTATTACAAAAGATGCAATTCTGGGCACGTCCAGCAAAGAGTCCAGAGGCCGTAGGTATCTTAGCAGGATGTGAATGTCTGCCCATGTTTCTATCCTGTCTCAGAGATTTAAGTCCAAACTTGGATCCAGCTAAGGCCCTGTCTTGTTCTGCTGCAGCTTCCTTTTGGAGAAACTCCATAATTAGGTCAACTCTAGTTTGAGTCGAAGCATTAGGATCAATCTTGACATCATGGAGGGGGCTTCTTTGCCAAGCCTTCATGAGTTCCTCCGAGAGACATGTCTCAACCATTAGAAATATAAATACAGACATCTGTCTGGCCTCAATCTTCAAGGATTCCAATGCTCTTGATTGAGTTACCAACTCATCATAAAATGAAGTCACCTTCAACTGTTGTTTGGTGAAGCAGTCAATCATTAGGCGAATAAGATATCTGACATATATTTTTTGAAACAATTTAGGCTTTCCAAATCGTTCTGTCAAAGTTTATATCACTTTGGGGTAATTCTCGGCAGTCAGAGGATAACTATCAACCAGTTTACTAGCGCTGGTTCCCGGCGACATGGATTGCACAAGATATTGAAACTTGTCGCTGTCTTCTAAAGTGGGATCGACGTGTATCTTGTTGGACTGTACCCACCACCCCAACCAATCTTTTATTTCCCCTGTAAATTTCTTCACTTCTATCTTGGGTATTTTACAGTTCGATGGTGTGAGCTAGAAGCGAAGCTCACTTCACTGGTCGTGGGACTAGATGCAGTGATCTTGGGTTCAACAAGAGCGAGACATTTTTTATATATCCTCTTACATCTCTGGTTAAAATGCAAGGCTTCCTCATCGTCTTGCTCTAGTTCCTCTTCGCTAACGTCTGAAGTTAGCATGAAGTCTCTTATCTTTCCTTAGATCACAAGAAGCTCACTGTGAGTTTCTTCAATGACCTCTCTATTATTCTCAATATCTTCTACAGCTATTGGCGGAGTACTTGACAGAAACTCTTCCGTCGTCTTCAAGATGCGAGTTAGTCTCTTTCTAAGTAAATTTCTATGGCTTTTTAAAATTTCCATTTTTCAAGATAAACTATGAACAAAAGGAAAAACAAAAGGTACGTATCTTGAGTCTTGACTTGTACCCCGCCGTTCAATCCACTTTATCTTGCCTTGTCAGAAGCCCACACGGGGACGCCACTTTGTGAAGAAAAGTCTGGTTCTCGTTTCACAAAACACTAATGCGAAATTCGGTAGAAGAATTCGCAGTGATGATTCTTTTGTGGATTGCAAGGATATCATCAGATCACTAAATATCAGCAAGGAGAGGTTAAAAGTCTCCATCAAACTAACTGTATTAAAACATGTAAGGAGGACAGAGGAAAACACTCAACTGGTCAGCAGACCAGGCCGCGCTCTAATCCTTTGTTGCCGGCTGGCGGGTATGTTTGTTTACTGTCACCCAATCTGTCTGGCCGACGTCCCGAAGTGGATCTCCATTATTTCACAACAGTGGTGCTCAAATATTTTTAAAAATTTTATGAAATAAATTTCTATTTTTTTTTAAATATTCTTATTAGGTATCAAAAAATATTTGAATCCTACATTTTAAACTTCAAAAATTATTATATTACAATATATTCAAATCAATTAAAAAAAAACCCTATTATATATATTTTTTAAATAATCTTTTAAAATTTTACAAATAAATTATTTTAGCGCTAAAAAACGTGATATTAATTCAATTACAGTAATATTGTTTCATTTCAGGATTTTAAAAGAAGCTTGAAGTGGATAATTATTACCATTTACGCGTTTTATTTTTTTTGAACAAAATTGAACGTTTAAAAAGCATGTTTTAAAGCAGTACTTTCAATATGTATATTAAATAAATTCAAATGCGAGTGGAATAAAATAGAAATATCTATATTTTTTTATATGATCACGACCGTCTTTCCTCATCGGCCTCTGTCACGGATGCGCGCGCACAGGGAGGTCACGTGCTCGCCGGCAGCCAATAAAAATAAAAAAAAATAAAACTCCCTCGAGCCGGATTTGAACCAGCGACCTAAGGATCACCGTTGTAACAACAACTCTGCTCTGCCAACTGAGCTATCGAGGGATACAAACTGTATGAATAAGTTTACCTTATAAAGTCAACTAATCCTATTTCTACACAAAATGTACTCATACATATATTATATTATATTATTATTATTATATTATATCAACATATATAGTCACGACCGTCTTTCCTCCTCAATCAATTCCTCATGTCACGGATGCGCGCGCATCATCATGATCATTATCATTATCTAATGATAATAATAATTATTATTATTATATTATTATTATTAATATATAGTCACGACCGTCTTTCCTCAATTCCTCATCGCTGTCACGGATGCGCGCGCATCATCATTATGATCATTATCTTCTATAGAAGCTTCTATCTTTATAATTATGTATATTTACAAAAAGTCAATTCGCTCGCGCCTCTAGCGGTGAAAATGAGGGGTAATACCAGCTGACCTAATGTACATGTAAAGTTTGGAGCGGGACGTTTCACAAGAGTGACATCCACGGCTCCAATTTATAATTGTAACAAATAGTATTTGAATAAAAACATTCAATCGGGTAAAACACGGGCGTTGCCCGGGTCATTCGTTAATATATAGTCACGACCGTCTTTCCTCAATTCCTCATCGCTGTCACGGATGCGCGCGCATCATCATTATGATCATTATCTTCTATAGAAGCTTCTATCTTTATAATTATGTATATTTACAAAAAGTCAATTCGCTCGCGCCTCTAGCGGTGAAAATGAGGGGTAATACCAGCTGACCTAATGTACATGTAAAGTTTGGAGCGGGACGTTTCACAAGAGTGACATCCACGGCTCCAATTTATAATTGTAACAAATAGTATTGGAATAAAAACATTCAATCAGGTAAAACACGGGCGTTGCCCGGGTCATTCGTCTAGTATATATATATAGTCACGACCGTCTTTCCTCATCGGCCTCTGTCACGGATGCGCGCGCACAGGGAGGTCACGTGCTCGCCGGCTCCCTCGAGCCGGATTTGAACCAGCGACCTAAGGATCGCCGTTGTAACATCTACAGTCGGGTAAAACACGGGCGTTGCCCGGGTCATTCGGCTAGTTTTTTTATATTAGAGATTAATTTTCTAGGTATATTTGTTTTGGAAATATTAAAAAAAAAACGAATATATACTAAATTAAGAATATATATGTGGTGAAGTCCTGGTGACTCTTGTAGAATCCTGTCGACTAAAACGGTGATGAGGTTTCCAGTCGACTTAAACTATGGTGAGTCCATGTCAACTCTCGCTATACTGTGTTGACCGAGAGGAACAGTCAGGATGTGGAGTTTTCCAGTACCTCTCTGCACCTTGGAAGACCTTTTACAGTTCTCACAAAGTACAGGCAGTCGTGGTCGAGGCAGAGTGGAAAGCTTGGGAATGTCCATACACAAAAAACGAAGACACAGTTGCACTAAGAAAGTTCCGTGAACATATAAAAGTTGAGCTAGGAGAGCGAAAGATGGGGAGATAGAAGTTTCTTGCTGGTCTACATGATGGATGAGATGGACCTGAGGTACAACCGACGCGGGCTTGCACTGAGGGTGAACTAACTGTATTTTTAGCTTAAAACGGGGCTTTATATACCTTTTCTGAGAAAGGGGGTTTTGCATGTCACCAGATGTGAAGAGTGTGGGTCGTCTGGTGACATTCTACTGGCGCCGTCCTGACAGCTTCCAATCTATCTTTAGACCTTGTTGTTTTGTGACTTCCATCTCCTTAGCTCAACTCTTAATCTATTACAGAGTTTTATTTATTTGTCCTCAGTTTGTACAAAGTACATTACATATGATGATGTAATGACACATGTCAATCATGCGTACAATCATTTACAGATGTGTTTCTATTATACAACATGAAAATCTTGTTATAAGTTATATACAATATGGGGTTGTTGGTTTAAATTACCATATATATATATTTTTAAATTCTAATTATTTTTTATGTATTGATATCAATTCTGCAATACAGAATTTTGAGTCCTACCCCGTTCATAAAAGACAATACAAGGTTGGAGCCTGAAACAGATTATAGGCCGCCCATTTTAGCGACCCTGCCTTACAAACCGCAGAGACAATAAAACGCTATTGTTTGATTAGCGCGCGACAGCGATTATGATTGATGGCATCATATAAAAAACCTCGTCATTTTAGTCGCTGCGCCCTCTTTCGCGATTATATTAGGTTAGCGCTTAATCATTCCTGGAAACGATACCAGTTAGTGATAATAATTTTCACGATCCTACCTAGTTTGCGAAAACGACTTTCAATAGGTCATAACAGGTTAACCGCCATACCGAGAAGGGAGAGCATAACGAGTATGCGACAACGCCTCTTTGAGGACCATATGAGGCGGAGGACTGCGCCTTTGTTGTAACTATGTCAGTTTAGCCAGCGCACTCCTTTAACGACCACTATTAGGTTTGCGACCATATCCCTTCAACAAACATGAAGGGCAATCTATCACGCGTTTGTTTTTCTATCTCGTCAGCTTTGCGAGCGCGCTTTTCGACAACCATTGCAGTTTGGGGAACGCTTATCATCTTCGACCATATAATTAGCGGAGGCGACCCTAAGAGGTTGCCTACCGCGCTCTTTTGAGCAGCATAAAAAGTAAATAAAAATGAAGCTTCCTTAACGACCATAACAGGACGATAAAAAAAAAACATTCCTTACTACGACTCTTTATTGATAACCTCATCTTGTAAGAAATTATGCTCTCTGGATCACCCAGCAATCTATTGAAGAACTCGGACGCTCACCTCAACGGCCTGGTTCTCGCGAGTTTAACCGGCCAACGCACGCGCGTCTTCGGAGTTTCTTTTTCTAAGACTGACTAACATTCAGTCCGGTCTTTCTGCATACATTCTTTTCTTTTACAGGTAGGGCTCATCAAGGTCTCGGCCAAAGGCACATTTCCAACCCTTGGTCCAGCTCGCCAATAATCCTGTATGGCGCGCAATATTATTTTCACGGGTGGGGGGGTCTGCAAGCTCTCTCCTTTTGAATAACTTGGAAGGAAAGCCCAGCACCAAGTACTGTGTGGTTATGAGTAAGCCGTTTAAGTAAGGGCAGGAGCCCCTACATCCATACCTTTGGGGGGAGAGGAAGTGGAGTAGGCGACCACGCGTGGGGATACCTGCACAAGTGGATTCATCAAGGGTGGGTCCGCCTTCAATTTCGGAAACTCTTTGGAATATTTGTGGCGTCTTTGTAATGCGCGTCTTGAGAAACCGAGGAGCGTACACAGCAGCAACACCCGCGAGATTTCCAGCGCCAACTTTGGGGCAGATAGGGAAGTGTAGAAGACCTAAAAGGAAGAGGAGGGAGTCTGATTGGAGTGAAAGACGGGTTTGAAAAGGGTCCAAGCAGAAGAACCCGGAGGGCAACTCGGCAGACGATCCCTCCTGTAGAGGCTTGTGGGGCTTGACTATCCGTGCCCACAGGGTTGTCCCTTGAAAGCGAGCGCCAGAGCCTATACCTATTTGTCGATCTGTGAACAAGCGTGCATCATCTTCTACTGGATAGATGAATAGTGGTAGTGCGAAGGTTAAGGAGAAATTTTGCATAGGTCCATTTTTTTTTCGAATTTAGTCTCCTTATGAACGGCCTTTATTAGTTGTAGGTTTATCTAGCAGACTTTGTAAAAGATGATGACGATGATGATGAGCTGAGGGTTGTAAGAACTTTAAATGCGAAAATATTCAGTGCCTGAACATATAAATCAAGCTGAGGAGAGAATTTTGTTTAGCTCTTTATATACAATCTCAACTGTGTAAAAAAACGAAGGACATCTCTCCAATCATAATAGACCTCAAAGGTAGACGCCATATATACTAGTCCTTCGCCGCAAACTAGCGGCCTCGGGTCGATGACAAAACCGCAACCCAAGCTTTGGCAAATTGAAAAGCGCCCATCTGGAGACCATGGTTTCGGGCAAATGGCCTTCGTCAGTCCAGGGGGTGGGGGTTCATTAGATCGAAGACAATTTGACAATTTAAACAATTTTATTGATTCTTTTAATCAAATTTTACAAAGGTGGAAAAATAAAAGAGTTTTAGCAAGGAAGGCTTCCCCACCTTGAGAGAGTCCTCCTGCAGACAAGGAGGGGGTCTTCTTGTACACTCCTCAGTTCCGCGCCGAGGAAGTACCTATAGATGCGCGTCTTGGCAGACGCCAGGATGGCCAGGGCGTCATCGTCTAGGCCATGCCCGAAGACCCAGCCCTGCAGGTCAGGGGGCCGCCCGATGATGGTAAATGCCTCCCGGATGAGAGGCCTGATGTAGCGGCAGGACCAGTACCGGTGAACCAGCGACAGGTCGCCGGACCCACAGGCGATAAAAGACTGTTGTGCCGATGCTGGATGGCAAAAGGGTCCCCAATGGGAAGCCCTCTATCGACCACAATTGCTGAGATCTCTATGCGCGCAATAGACCGAAGGATTACCGCCAATTTCCCCCATGATATATTCTTTTGGCGCAGGTACATCGATGACATCTTTTGCATTTGCACCACCACCAAAACCGATGACATCCTCTACAATCTAAACAATTATCACCCTGATCTTCACTTTACAGTTGAAAAAGAAACCAATAATACCCTTCCATTTCTCGACGTTAAAATCATCCGGCACCAACATGAATTGCACACCACCGTTTATTATAAACCATCCTTCCATCCTAATTACGTTCAATACTCGTCCTTCTGTCCTATCAGTCATAAAATCAACACAGTCATTGCTCTATCAAAACGAGTCCATACCCACTGCTCCCTCCAGAAGTACAAGAACCTCGAAACACAGAACATATTAGCTAACCTCAGGGACTGCGCATACCCGATATCCTTTATATTGCGACACTTTTATGACCCAACTAAAAAGACACAGTCTCCAATATACAGATCTATTTGCAATATGCCGTATTCACCATTATCCTCCACAATAGCGAGATTCTTATTGAAATTTGGAATCAAAACCTACTTCACCTGCGCACCTACCTCTGGATCCCTTCTCCGAAACCAGA